CAGGGCATGCTGACAGAGCACGGCTCCCGCACTGAATTCAGGTTCCCTGCCTTCAGCTGATGCATCCTGTGCATACGTTCGGCAGCAAGAGACTCTTTCTCCAGCTCCGTCTGCTCGGAGGTTCTGGCCTGTGGTGCAGCTGTGTTTTCCACAGAAGCATGGACATCCTACTTTGTCATTACCATGCACAAAGGTCAGCGCTCGTCGAAGTTGACCGTCGCCTTGGCTCAAGTTCGCTGCGTTGCTTGAATGACGAGATCCTAAACGCTTGAGCTGTACTGCAGGCAAAGCCAAACGCCAGCAAGTCACAACGCTTGCTTGTCGCCTTCCCCTGTCTCCACCACAAGCTGACAACTTGCACAAATTGCTGGGCAAGTGCCTTGGGGAGCTTCCCAGCGAGCTTTTTCAGCAGGCCTGCACGTGTTTTAGGGATGGCCGCTTGCTGCTGCTGATGGTGGCAGTTGAGTCGTCTGTTAGCCGAGGCTGTGGCTGAGAATCTTCAAGCGTGCAGTCCTCTCACGGTTGGACCAGCGTGCAAAAGACTTGACCATTCATGTTCTGTTCACCTCTTGGCGGTCCCTACGCTCTCCAGCACCCCTGGGTTCCTTGCCGATCGGCATGGTATGTTAGAGCAAGGTTTTAGGGACTCCAATACTCGAGTAGCGTGAGATAGAAAAGAGACATCGTCCGCCTGCTTTACAGTACTCTGTGTGAGTGGTCTTGCACGCTCAGGTCAGTCTCAACATGGTAGCGGAGCTCTCTTCAGGAGGGGGCTCTGCTTACACAGAGGTACCCCCTAAGGTACGGACCCTGCCTCATGGGGGGCTCGAGAGGAGAGAGCTCCCGCAGTAGTCTTTTGGAGAAACCATGGCAGATGATTTTTACACTGACACGAGTGATCAGGACCTGTAGATGTACGACACAACGAGAACGTTGCAGTTGTCCCAGGTGACGACAAAAATACCACATTCATTCGATGGCAAGCCATCATGGTTTGCATTTGAAGATGCAATAGACGACTGGTGTGACATAAGTGAACTGGACGAGGTGAGAAGATTGCCAACACCCAGAAAAAGGCTGGAGGGTGATGCCACTATCTACAACAAAACCGTCGATCGTGATCAGCTGAAGAGCAAAGAAGATGGTTCGCATACTTCAAGCGATCTCTGAGGCCCTTCTTTGTGAAGGGAAGGCTCAATCTTCTTATGCTGTTTCCAACAGTTCATGAATCTATGACGCGGTTCGTCTAATTTTATGAAGTGGATGTCAAGATTTCAGATTCAACTGAAAAGACTGGAAGAAACATTGGGAGACACATTGGCTCCCATCAGTGATACAGAAGAAAAAGAAATGAGAATGCACACGCAAACATGATTTCTCCAGTGCACGTAAATTTGTGCCTGATTGAGTTAGCTACAGTCCTGTTGCAGCGCTATCAGTCCATGTACAATTCATGTAACACAACCGGCGCAGTATGTGTTGCTCTCAAGGTTTTAGGGACTCAAATGCTCACGTAGCGCGAGATAGAAAGCCTTCTTTACTGTACTCTGTGTGAGAGGTACTGCACGCTCGGGTCAATCTTGGGGGGGTTGCCCGATGTATCGGACACCTAGGTGGCGGTGGGAACCTCCCCGGCGCTCACTTTCAAATCTCTGACATAGAACCAAGTGGTCCCAAAGTTGTCCATAGCCCGGGAGATTATTTTGGTAAACAGAAACTCTCGCAAGCTCCAAGGAGCTAGCTTTCGTGGAAAAAATGCACTTAAGAAATCTTAGCACGCCATGGGCTGCGGGAGCTTTAGCAGTCCCTCCTCGCCCCACGGCCAAAGCCATTGCCACCACCACGACGTGGCCTGGTCGCACCACGCTCACTCACACTCCATGACGGACAAAGTGATAGTGATAACGATGCTGGTGGGACAGAGCATTTGAAAGATCCTTTTCATGCTGTGTTGTGGGACGGCGGCCTAACAAATCCTTCTGCCCAGAAGGCCTCCTCTGCCACGGGCGGGGAAACAGTGTTGCCATCATTGCTGGCCTGTGGCTAGGCCAGCGTCGGGAAGCATTGTTGGCCCATTATGCGACCAAGTTCAATCAAGAGACCTTGAAAGCTTGAATGTCGCTTGGCAATGAGCTTTGCAATTTTGGACGTTGACTTGGATAATATTGCTTCAGCAAGCATGCGCACATTGTTGGCCTCCACAGTAGGCCGCACACTTGGCGCAAAAGAGAACCTTTGAGCTTACTTTGCGCTCGTGTACCTGTCTTTTGGAACGGTAAAAGTTGCGGAGGAACTTCACCTGCCATTGTGTCAGGACTCACATCACGCAACCTGCCAGCTCAGTTGCGGAGCCTGCTCTTCCAGTTCTCTGAACTGCTTCTGCAGGCCTTGCAAAGTAGGTACCGTAATTGCACGGATGTCGGACTCAACTTCCTGCACGGCTTAGCAAGCTGTAGCCTTGACATAACCTAACCCCATGTCGCAGACTTGAATGTTCTAAATTTCATCCCATACGACATGGCTCTGCGACATCCATGCTGCAGCATGCTAGCACACAGTCAGCCGACATGGGAATTAACAGATGCACACAAATGCAGTGCACGCGCATTTCGCTTGGAACCGTGCGGCTTGTCATCTTGACAAACTTCCGAACTTACGTCTGCCGAGTTTTGTCTATTTTCTTGCCACTTGCACCTTGTACTGTAAAGCCCTGATGCTGATGCTTAAAATGACTTTCTACTGTTTTGCTGTATGGTCTGCGTCATCATTATACATTGCCAATGCTTCGGACATGTTGATGATGTGTACACGTGCTGTCGATATCACTGAGCACTGCGCTTACCAAGTCCTCCCTTGCGGGCAGGTGCAAAAATGCCTGCAAGCCATGCAGCTAACAAGCTAAACCGTGATGTCTGCTCTTTTGCGAAGATCTGGGTCCCAAGCTCCCGGTGCTGCATGAGGGGGCCGCACAGGAATCTCCACTCCTCAAGAAATAAGCGTAATAAGCCACACTAGACAAAGATGCGACTTTTTGTTTTAGACAGAGCCTCGCAGAGAGACAAAATTAACCATGGCTTCTTGTGGCTTCTTTTGGGTGTGGCAGTTTCGCTGCAAAGGGTATGTGAAATTGCAAATGTTTCTGGCCATGCTGATTTTCATGTGATGCCTCTTGCCAGTTTTGGGCGTGTAGAGCACGCTTCTTCGAGGGGACAACGACCACACCACAACACAACAGTCAGAACTTGAAGCGTCTTGAATCTTGAGCCAGGACGTTGTGCGATTAAAGCCAAGCCGCTGAGGCACTTCAGCTGCGCAGCAAGCTTCAGCATCATGACGGTATTGTAAAGGTCAACACAAAGCTTCCATTGCCTTCGGTGGTTGCCTGCCAACCCGAGGCTTGAAAACCGCGAAAGAACCCTGATTGATTTCGCTTACAGCTAGGACAACTGGTCTGAGATGATAGGGTAGCGTCGCCTGTCCCGACTATCCTCTGCGCATGATTGTGCTTGGAACCACCCAGCATGCTTCCAGAGGCTTGAAGCACCCAATGCGGACACCGCGCCCATCACGGCCACTATACTCTTCTTAATACCTTTAAAATAGGATTTATGTGTCTAATTATTCGAGCCCAAGGAGGCCCCAACCCCTCAGCGCCCACCGCGGATACGTGCCCATCCGCATCCAGGCTCTTCTCTCCTGCCTAGCATGCGCCCTTTTCGATCTGAAGATTTGCAAGCTTTAAGCTTGCTCATCTCACACTTGTCAAGACGCCTACAACTAGCCATCAGCCAACATTCGTGCGGCTGCGAAGCTGAATTTGATGCAAGACTCCGACTTTCGAATGCCCCGCTAACGACCCACGCTCACAGGCTAGCTAGTTGGCAGTCCTTGCATGGCCGCTGTGGGCTTGCACGGACTCCTAACCCTGTCACCAGTCCAATATAGTTCCACCATAGCGATCAATGCATAAGCTACTTGTTAGCACTTCGTCTAACCCTTTCTGCCGTGCTTCACTTGGGAACCTGCAGGCAGGTTGCAGAGATTCATATTTGCCAGCGTCACTGGCTGCGCAACTTGAAGGCAGCTGAATGTGCAGCTCTTGCCGGTAGGCACACAAGGCCGCGTTGGGCCAGCTTGCCCTCCTTTTCCTGCGTGCGCACAAGTTTGTCTTTCACGAGCAGCTGTTTCCAGTCGCAGCTGCCGTGTCTCTCAGCACTGGGGGGCAAGCACACGCGCAAGCCAGAGTCTCGGCCTTTCAGACTCAGTTAACCGCAAAGTAGAACGTGCATCTAGCAGAATCTAGCATCTGGGATGTAACAGAATTGACCTTCTTAGGCTTTCCCAGTAGAAGAGTTCATGGCGCACTTCGGTTTGCTGACGAGGCCCAAGCCAGGATGAGCGGGAAAAAAGTAGTAAGCACCTTTTCTTCACAGATAAGGCCTTTTCTTGGAAACCGGCATCTGACGTAAGCTGAAACCTGGCAAAACTTGAGGATGGCTTAGTCGTCTAATCAGATTCCAGCTGTGTCACCATGCCACAGGGCAGGCCATGCAGCCAGCCACTGATGACAGGCACTTGGTTACAGTCAATTCAAATATAGCAAGCCCCTGTAGGTCTTGCAGCTGCTGCTGCTGCAGTACCCGTGGAGCCCACAAAACTGAACGCATCAAGCTTGCCGCTTGATGAATCTGAGCTTGCAGGGCACCGTTATGCTGCGGGATACCATCTGAAGTATGAGGTATGAGATGCTGCTCCTCTCTGTGGAGTTCCACGTCAAGTTAGCTGACGTAAAGACCCTGTGTTCAAAAGTGAGCGTGGCCCTGTGCGCCTCTGTTGTTCTCGGCCTTTCCAAATACAACCGCAATTCTGGTATCCTAAAAGCCTGAGCCCAGTGCATTCTGCAAGCAGTGTCACGTTGCTACACGCGGCAAGATCGCAGACAAAGGTAAGCTTGCTTTGCCGCTCATTGCCCTATCACGCTCTATTGGCTAACGGCAGAACTAGGTGAGCATGGTGAGCACCCCGTCGCCGCGCGATTGTGCCTCGCGAACACGGTTCAAACCTAGCCTGTGTAAGGTATAGGATGTAGCAGGGCTTGAGCTTGTTGACAGTCGACTTGTCCTTTGAACTGAGATTGGTGCAGGAAGTGTTAAGCTGCTGTTGGTTAACACTCGAGGTACAGTAGGAGCTGTTCGTGATGTCTTTGACCCAATATTTGCATAAGGACGGCAGCCCAGAGTCGTGAAACTTGAGTGTTAGCGGGTAACTGCTAGCCATGGACATACTTGCCTTTTCACAAGTGATGATGTGAACTATGACCTGAACTCTTCGTATCCCCCCTTAATAACCCTCATAATAGTCCCTATATCATCCCCTGCACAACCCCCTTAAGAAGTTTAGACTACAGCTCATGTGAGAGGCCATGTCAGGCTGCTGTTCTCCTGATCTGATCACGGCTCTGCACACACCACTTCCTAGCCCTCAGCGACCCGGTTTTGCCTGATGCTAGTCTGCTCAACAGAGGTGCCAGGCATTCACACATTCTGCAGTTGAGTACCTTGAATGGAAGTCCGCACTGCAGAGCTGTATAGGTACCTAGATCAGGTTCAGGCCGCCACCCAAAGCTTGAAAATGAAACGTGAGGATAGCAGTATCAGAAGTGCCTTTGCCAATCACGCTGAGGTATGCTTCACAATGCAACCTACGCCCTCGGTGCAAACCCTCAGCAAAGAAAGCCTGTCATGTTCTTGTGTTACATTTGACCGACAGCAAAGGCTGCAGACCCGACTCGCCTCGGCCAAAAAGCAGTACGCCATCAGGACAAAAGCTGTGTCGGCAATAGCCACAGTTGTGTGAAAATCCTCGTGCCAGCCATTGAGGCCAGTGCTATGCCAACGCATGGCTGGATATCTCCGTGAAAACGGAGGTGCTATGAAGAGGCTGAGGCTGTAGAAAGCAGCTCCGCAAACCCAAAGGCCACGAAAGTGGTAGCTGATTCCAGTGAAAATCAGGCACCATACAAAGAACAGCGTGTTGACAGCAGTTCGGATCTGACGTTTCCTTAGACATAGCCAGTGACAACACCCATGACAGCGGTTGCAAAGTGCTGAAGCCCTACTGGCCCCAACCCGTCCAGAGGATGTCGATCAAAGCAGTCTTTAAGGCCATGTCAGATCCAAGGTCTGCAAGGACGCCTCGGATTCGTGAGCCAAGTCAGAGTCGATCAAAGCCTGAGCTTGCTTGACACAGCGAACAGCCTGCCTCATACCTTGCTCCTTGCTGGGGATGTTCAAAAGAGAAGTCTAATATAAGCAACAACTTCCAGTTGTGGCCTGGCCCTGATGCGGAATTCCAAATCCACATCCCCTCATCTCGTTTGTCTTGTATTCCGTCCTGCGCTGATGTCGACAAAGACTTATCTCTGCTCTCTTGCACATTTTAATGCGGCGCTCATAGTTGAACGGCAGTTAAATTGAGTGGAACGAGCGGTGGAACTGCGTTGCATATTGGATTGCTTCGTCAAGCAGACATTGGCAAGGACCGGAACCAACAAGCAGTGGAGACGCTCCAACTCCCAGTGATGTATGGTCTCATCAGTCTGGTCGGTCGCTTAGTGATGTTTGTAGTGCTATATACTCGCTAATGTTTTCGGAGCAGCGTCTGCAAGAGAGAAATTGTATGGTTTGCAGCTAAAGAAGACTTCATGTAGGAAACACACATGAATAGATCCCTTGAACTGGTCAAGATGCAATGGCAGAAGCAACGAAACGCAAAGGCGCAGGACCGTATCACAAGTGCACGCAGTGATTATTCGTTTTGCCAAACTGCTCTAGCAAGATATGATAACTACAGTTCTCTCATGCGCTTTGGGCAAGTCTGCATCGGATCACGTAATTTGAGCCACTGGCTTTATGAGGAGTTGCATACGACGACCTGTTGTGCGAGCTATGAACCTGCAGCTGTGCCGACATCTGCCTTGCTGTTAGGATGAGCTGATGCTCTAGAAGTAAGCCTTGAATGACCAAAGCCCACAAGCATCAGCCATTAACGATAGCCCCATGCTGACTCTGAAAATTCTCCTTAGCAGAACCGTGGCTGCATTTGACTCTTCAGGGGCAGAGTCTATACCAGAAAGTGTCAAGGAGCATAGGTCAAGAATGCCACAGCGCAAGCTACGCTGAACTGCAGCAACCAAAGCCTCACCTCAGCTGGACGAACAGCCACGGTTTTGCTTTGGGTTTGTGATGCTCCTGGGACAACTTGATTCTGGCAGCATTGGGGAGGCACCACAGGATGGCACCCAGTTTTAGGTGCCGCAGCAGAATCTCAGATTGGACAAGGTGCGTCACTGAGAAACACGGATGTCGGCGCCCAAACCGCGAAGCAAATGGACACTAGGTCCATGCCTTGAATGCAGCCAGGGCATGTGGGAGGAGGAATACTTTGCCCTTCCAAAACCTGCATGCAAGTGAAATATGTGCAATCCAAGATGCGAAGCCAGAAATTGAAAGTGGGCACAGATGGATGCGGGTAAAGGTGGAGAAAGGCGCTGCAAAAGTAGCCTTAGCAATGGGTCAGTCAATCGACATAACCGAAGGCTGATCAAATACCACCAGGTAGCTCACCAGCTTTGCGCCCAACAGTGCTGAGAACCTCCACCAGTTCTCGGCCCAATGCCTAGCAAAAGCTGCATGAATGTGCATGAAAAATAGGTCACGGTTGGCCCGCTTCAGATCAAGCCAAGTCTGCGTCGCACACCATCATGTGATTCCTTTGCTCCAGAAAACAGCCTTTGCGCTCCATGAATTGTGTGCAGCTTAGCATGCCCGGTCCGTGAGCGCGTGCTTCACGCGGGGTGCAAGGGGTGCAGTACTTGGTATCTGGCGGTAGCTGCACGAATCTGCGTTGTATCTTCGGCGGAACTCTCTGTGCTCCAGGCGTAACAAAATTCGTAAGAGCAAGGGTCGACGTTCATAAACAAGTTGGCGAGCTTCAGAAAAAAGTCTAATTAAACGTGCAAAGACAACACAAAGGTAACAAACTCGCTCGCAGAGTGCTCAGAAAAAAAGTGGAACAAAGGAGACTGGTCTGTTGCAAAGCACAATTCTTATTCTCGGACTCGATTTAACCCCGTCATTCTGTATCCAGATTGAGACTGAGAGGCCAGTTGTTGAAGGCTTTGCTGGCGATCGCACAGGGCTGAGAAAGTCTGACACTCTTTTAGACTTAAAATACGTGTTGACTCAGCACGGGGGAAAAAGCCAGCCCTATATTCGGGTTCCTTAACGAAAAACATCGGGTCTAGACTGCGGGGCTGTGCTTGAGGGATGTCCCTGTCGTTCGAGTTTGTTGCGGGCAAGGCCCCACTCATCCCCCACTCTTTGGATAGTTGAGGATCACCTCTCAAGCCTAAGCCGCGGGACCCGCAGAAGACCGCCAGCGTGGCGTATAGGAAGGCAGGCACCAGCCTTGCACCATTGCATGTGCCCAACGCAGATTTCCTGACCCCGACGCCAAAGTATGAATTGCCAGAGTTAGTCAATTTTGCTAGTTTTTGCGAAGACACCATCATGTATGGGGGGGATGGCCTTAACACGACCTACCCACTCCTTTGCCAGGCTTTGACAGCTTTAGAACTTTAGTAGCCGTAGCAAGCGTCACTCTGGCTGAGTACACACGAACTGAAAAGAGGGTGGACGGGCAAAGCAGGTCTGGCAATCTACTACATGACCTGGAATCAGACAATGCTCTGGGTGGTATCGGACGCCATGACAATCTTCCACGTCTGTATTACCTCTAATTGTAGAAGCTCAGTACCCGACAGCAAAGCAATCAGACCGTGGAGCACTCCTCGCAATAACGGTCGAGTCCAGCCATTGACCTCATCAGCGACACATGTTAAAGCCTGTTTTTGCTGAGCCTGAGCACTGGCAAGCCAACACCCAACATCTGCACCTGGGACCGAGAAGGCTGATGGAGTCAAAAGAAGTGCTTGCGGCTCAGTCTGTTCGCTCCCAGAGAGACTGCGGACTCCGGGCTCTTTTTGCGCGTGAGCATCCAACGCGTATCAGCTGCAAAGCTGTTTCTACAACAGTGACAACTGCCGACAGGATGCGTAGGACTTGCGTCCCAGCAATGGTGAGGACAGCCGCATGCCCTCTCGCCGCGTGTGCTACAGCTTTGGAAGCATGTCTTTGAACCAAAGCTGCGGCACAGCTGGAAGACTCACTGAGGCGCTTGAATGTTCGACCTGAACAGCCACCTCTATAGCCTACTTCAAAAGGTTTCACATGCAACTAAGACACGTGATGCACTCCCTCGGCCTCACTTGCGGCAAAGCAAGGCCTGCGCCACCGCTTGTAGCTCAGGCAATGGTGTCTCCATCTCTCTAAGGAGGAATGGGGCTTTGCAGAGCAGCTCAGGTCCGACTGCAAACTGTAGGGAAAACGCTGCAATTTCTTGAGCACTGGCAAAGATATCACTCTCAAATTCTATCCATACATGCTCCGACTCAGCATGCTCAGCATGTTTGCATGAGACACACACTCTCCACTTCAGGTGCCCGCGCCTGCGCTGCCTTACCACACCTTTTCGGCACCAGGAGAAAACAGGTGGCTACAGAAAAATTCTCTGACTCATATCCCCTTCTCGGTGACAGCCTGAGCAAAACTCATTGTATCCTGGCATGTTCAGTGCCATCACGCCGAGGCGGCGGCAAGCGACCCACGAAGTTGACGCAGGCCTGCGAGGCACGGCCGCTGCATTCAAAATGCGCTTACGTCGTCCTGTTTGTGCTGCAGTGCAGGGCTTAGCATGCCTTTGCGCTAAGCTCACATTTCTGGGAAGTTTATGGGATGACAAACAATTCTCATCTGCGTGCAGGACAGTCTCAAATTTCACTTGTCTTTGGTCATGCAGCCACAGTAGGCGTTTCCGTCCCTCAGCACCACCTGCATTCCCCCTCCTTCATGATGGGGGAGAGCGGAAAATGTAACGTGCAGTCTCCTTTACTCCCCTCTCTGTGGCATGCGCTTTGGGGCCTCGTGTTCGTGTTGGCTTGGAGGTGGGAGTGCTTGGCTTAGAGGTGCGCTTTGGGGGGGCGGGGGGTGGGGCTTCGCGTGCGCTGTGCTCTCTGTGGGCGGTGCAAAGGTCTTCCAAGGCTGTTTGAAGCCTGAACTTGAGGATTTCGGGGATTTTGTAAGCCCCTGGTCTGAGGGGCTTAGGCAACCCTGCCTTTCAGCGTTTGGCAGAAGCAGGGAGGCACCCAAACGGGAGACCACCCCAACGGTTACAGCCCAATGATATCGTTTCTTGAGAATGAACGTACGACCTGACACTAAGTCCTAAGAATTAATCCTGTAGCGCACGAAGTTTTTCATTGCGGCTGTCGTCTAATGCGTTCACCAACTGACAAAGGACAAAGGATTCCTAATTGTTGGGTTTTCATAATTCACTTTCTTCCTTTCCCTCACATAATACGAGCCGCGAAAGGGTTTGGGAGAGACATTTTGAGCATGCGTTTGGTCTAGAAATGCGCTTTGGGGCGAGGCATTTTGCTTCGAGGTGCGCTTGGGGGTGAGGTGTCTGGCTTGAAGGTGCGCTTTGGGCTGGCGTTTGGCTGAGGGGTGCCTTGGAGCCTGGCGTTTGGTTGAAAGTAACTGGCTGCATTATCTGCGCCATTTTCATGGCTGCATTGTTGCGCCCCGCACCCCTGAACCTGGTACGTGGCTGCATTTCTGTGCCAGTTTGATGGACTGCATCGTTGCGCCCCACACCCCTGAACCTTGTAAGTGGCTGCATTTCAGCATTTCTGTGCCATTTGGATGGACTGCCTTGTTGCGCCCCGCACCACTGATCCTTGTAACTGGCCGCATGTCTGCGCCATTTTGATGCGCTGCATTGCTGCGCCAGGGTTTGGGTTTTACTGTTTATTCCAGTCTCACAATGCGATCTGACTGGTTTGCTCTTTCACAAATGCTTTTGGGGCGGGATGCTTGGTTTTAAGAGGCGCTTTGGGGCGGAAAAGGTAGGACGAAAAGGATGCTCAGCCACACGTTCGGAAAAATCCCGCAGTATTCTTGCCTGTGTTTTCGTCAAACCTCGCCCACTGCCATCTCCGGTGGCAGACTTGGGCTTTATTTGTGTCGTCGTCATCCGGAATTCTCAGCACCGTCGTCCATTGGGAGACTAGTAAGGCCCATACATCGTCATCCTTGCCGTTCACATTGACCCATGCGCATACTTCGTGGCAAGTTCACGGCTGCCCTTGCGAAGCCTGCCGCCGGCTCTACCCCTGCCCAACCCCTCTCCTCCCCCAAGAACAGCAATACGGATCAGCATGTTATGCATGCAAAGTTAATGCACATCTCAACTGTTTTAGATCTATGCCCCAGCGACAGTTTGCATTTGAGGGGTGAGGATCCACCTTCTGTAGTAGGACCAACAAGGCATTGTCTGCAGGCACTTCTGTGATGTCTCTGGTCGGGCCTTTCCACCCGGCACATAGGAAGCGACGAAGTAGAGCAGGCCTACTGCCTGCATCTTCACTTTCCAACCCTCATGTTAGGGACCATCACGCAGTATCACTTGCAAACTGACACGAAGCGGCAGGCAAGTGCAGCCACATGCTGGGAGACAAGGAAAGGACTCTTCTTGATGCAGATTCCATCCTGAAGGAGCCCACAGATGCCGGTCAGCAGAAAACTCCGCAAAATGATGGTCGCTATGAGCGTGCCGACCTCAGTCATCAACTACCCGCAAGCACGCACGGCAAGAAAAAGGTGAATTGGCAATGATCTCAGCATCTTCCATTGATAGTTGTGTATCCGCCCCTCTCTCTCTCTCTCCACACGTATCCAATCCTGGTACATATTGCACACTGTTCTGCCTGGAATCTAAGGTTGGGGAACTCCCTTATGCCTAAAAGTGTTCTCAGTTCAGACAATGCTGCTGTCTCGCCTTCCTCTTCGGCAAGCTTATGACTACGGCGCATGCAAATTATACCTGAGAATTTTGAGCACTGGTACCATCTGGTACCAATAGGAGGCATGGAAGCCCAACAAAGCCCTCCAGTTCATCACCGTAGAGACCTTTGAACTGCGTTTGCACGCTGGAGAACTGCTCGTTTGGTATCATCGTGTTCTCGGGCATGGACCATGTAACACGTGATAGCACGTGCTGCAATTTGCCGCATTTGCCGCTACGTAATTGGGGTCCTGTATGTTTCAGGGGCAGTTGTCGTAAAGTCATTGACGGGGACAGCAGCCACATTCACACCCATCCCGTATGCTTGTTGAACATTCAATGCGTCAAACATTTGTAAGGGGCAGTTGTCGTAAAGTCATTGACAGGGACAGCAGCCACATTCACACCCATCCCGTATGCTTGTTGAACATTCAATGCGTCAAACATTTGTACGACAAGATCATAGGCTCCGCACTAGGCCAACTCCGTAGGCGATTGAAAAGGGAAGCTGCTCCTTCCTCGCCATGCCCGACAGGAAGGCCTTCCCAAGGCTTGCTTCATTAAGAACTAGGCGCTGGCCCCCTCGTTTGCCAACCTGCGGGCCCTTCAGAAGCATGAAGCTGCCCAGCCTGAAGTGTCCAAGTTACACAAGATGGGCACACACGCAAATGCCCAAACTTGTGAATCCTAGACTATTCTCCTGCTGTTGCATCCTCATGCCACTGAAAAACTTTTCCAACTAAACCGAGGCACATCGTCATGGATCCGAAAGCAAAGAGCAGAGCGAACTTCTGGGGCGCGATGACCATGACCGGAAGAAAGGAAAAGGACTTAGAATCCGCCACAGAGTAACATGCTGAGCATCATGTCTCAGAAATCTGCAGCCGCATGGATATCTTAATAGCTGAGAACGAGACAAGAGATATTAGAAACACGCCCACCAAGAACATGCCTCCGAACCTGGGTTCGCATCAGCAGCTATCTTTCGCATGTGGCATGGGGGAATGCTATGTCGACACATCGAAAGAGCCAGCAGTAGAGTGCTAGCTGCTACCTTTTGTGCTGGCAGACGATTCCAAAGTCAACCCGATTGACAAACAGTCCACTGGTGCTAAAATGGACTGGCAGAAGTAGGCTTGAAGCTTAAACTGTTTGGCGTGTGGATGTGCGCAGCATGAATCATGCCAGTGTCTGCAGTTGTTGAGATATGGTGAAGGTAGAGATGATTGTCTCTAAATGCTATAAAGCAACGGCAACCACACAAGTCACAGCAGAAATTTGATCCGCCCATCCCCAGATTAGGTACAAGTAGCATCAGCAAGAGCACAGCACAACCGGAGTTCGCATTTGAGCGGTGGTTTTCATTCTATCTAAAGTCTATTACAGAAACTACGCCTTCCGCGTACCTTCCGCGAGTAGCACTTGTAGTCTTTTTTGCTTCCGCCTTCCGCAGCTGCTTCCGTGAAGGTTTTCCGGCTGGATTTCGGGATTTGCTTCCGCGAAAGGTCTTCGAAGACTACGGCAAAGGTTCTCGCGCATGCTCTCTTCGGTTGACTCCTTTGTCTTGGGCAGAGAAGCAAGTTGCAGGATGAGCACGTATAATATGATGTTGTGAGTACACATACAAAGGCTTCCAACCGACCGATGACAGGTTTTCAGAAACGCGGTAACGTTGATGCAAAGGTTCTCATGCAAATCAAGTTGGGATTTGGATGCTACACGCGGCCACAATTACTAGCGAGTCCTTTCTATAGGAGTGAAGTTGCGATGTGGCAGCTGCATGCGGAAGCACTAGCGGAGTTGTCCCACTGGCATGAAGAAAGAATTTCGGAAGCAAAGGTACGGGTATGGATTCAGTGTTGAATTTCGGGCTTCCGCGGCCTTCCGCGCGCACAGGAAGCCTGGTTTTCGGACTATGATTTGGTGAGTTTCTGTGCTGCACACTTAAAGATTGATCTACCAAAAAAAACCTGCTCATTTGTTCTGCTGGAAGAAGGGCTAGGAAGAAACAGCGTGTTGAACACCCAATCAGAGTCAGCCACACGTCTCAGCGCCGGGCTGAGCAAGCTTTGCGGGCGACAAAGCAAGACTGCCGAGTCCTTTGAGACCCTCACCAGCCTTCGGCATGATGGCAACCCAGGCAAGCTCAAAATTCAAACAGCAGTCCTCGCACTTGACGAAGTGGCTAACATGAATGTACACGATACCAAATGACTGCGATTAGCTGGGTCGGGCCACCTGCGCGAGCTTGTCCTTGGCAGCGCCTGCCACACTTGCAGCTTTGTCCTGTGAGCAATGTGGACACCGTGTGAGTGGCTATTCTGCATGCTTGGACCTGACAGAACTATAAAGAGAAGATACCTCACGGGAGATACGGCGAGGGCACCAATTGTTGCTAGGCTGCTAGGTCCCATCTTCATCTCCTACTTTTTCTGCCAGCATCCGCTGGATTGCCAAACCCTCGTAAACCATTGCATTCCTTCTCCTATGTTGGCTGAAAAAAGAGGGGTTAAGCACGGACACAAGTCGACAGCTGTCCTTGGCCTCTCTTGCTTTCGAAGCAGCTTGCACCTTGGCTTCACTTGCCTTGTTGGCAGCTTTGCTTCCCAAGTCCTGCAGGAGCAACGTTCAATGGCCTGGCAATAGTCGTTGCCAAGCATGTGCAGGCTGCCCTTCGCCGTTAACACAGAAGTGCAAACAGCAATCTCTTCCGCTGCCCCTGAAGTACATCCGCCCAAAGACTTGACTTCCCAACCACGTCACGTCGTGATCTGTCTAAATCGCCCAACGACTTGAAACAACATTCACACTTTGATGATGAGCGCTATGCCTTTGAACAGTAAGCTGAGTGCGGAAAACCTCTCTGTGTGTCCTTCGCAAGCTGCGATGCTACCTGGCAGGCTCGCAGAACGCTACAAGAGGAGCCGCTTGCTTGTGGGCTGCGCGCGCAACCTGCAGGGTGTTCCTTTTTGAGACTGCTGCTCACCGAAAACAATTTTGCAGAATGCTTGGCTTACATGTGATTGGCGCGTCGCCGCTCCTGCAATTGGGGCCAAGCTTGGCCAAGCGTTAAGTGACGAGCAGACCCTTCACAGCAGCGCAGCCTTGCCACGTTCGGTAAAAACCTCACGAGCTTGGCAGGCACGGTCTGCAGCAGCTCCAAAGCCCTTGGCGACCTGCTAAGCGAGCTTTTTTTGCCAGCTTCAGCTGAAAACCTCATCTTTTTTGCTCTTCCAGAAGGTGCTTGATGAGTGCTTGGCCTCGCTTTGCCAGCCTTGGACTTGCCTCGACGCAGCTGCAGCTGATACAGGGATACAGGTTTGTACTTCTCAACGATCTTCTAAGGCTACAGGCAAGTTTGCAGACGAGATGCTGTGCCAGGTCTGCTGTCTTGGCTTTTTCAGCTGCCTGATAATTAAGGCGAATACAAGTGTGAAGCTGAATCACCAGGGTAATTGATAGCAGCCAAAAAGGCTTACATATCTCACGTTCAACATCTGAAAAAGATGACTACATCTGTGATGTTTTGAGCAGCGGCATCGGTTTGTCGGTCTAGCGGTCGGCTGAGTCTTGGATCTGCGGCACCTCATCTCGATTGCCTGATTTTAAGCCCCGTTTGCTGACAGGCAAGCTGATCGCATTTGTCATGTGGGAGTTTTCATTCAGGCTTTATTTCGCAAAGGAAATTTACACGTTTCTTACATTCCGCGGCCCCTCTCTAGTGCCCGAAGGAAGTAAGTTTGGTCCTGCATGCAAAATTCGCCCATCGGGCTACTCTTCTTCTCTTTTGTGTAGCTCAAAGCGGCGGCTCATGTCTGCTGCTGCTAGAACAGAAGCCAAAACAGCTTCTGGTGGCAAGCATGCTGCTGCTTTGTGAGATCTTCCGTACAAAGCCAAGTCATCCGATTATGGTCATGATACGGTCAAACACGAGCTGATCCTGCTTCAGGACTGCGCCTCGCCATTGCCAACATCGCTGACACTCACAGAGCTAATTTGCAAGTACTGTGCAGAGAACGGAACCTTTAAAGCGCACACCTTCTCTATGTTCTGTTTGGCTTCTTCCGCCGCCGAAGCCACCTGCAGGAGAAGTTCTTCACAGCATGCCTATGCATTGTCACCTCTATGGAAACACATGCGAGTTTTCTGATTGCTACTGGCAGGGGCATCACACTGTTTGAGCCCGGCGCCATGGAATAGCTTCGTGTCACTGCTGCCACTCATATAACAGCTGTCACGTTACTTGTGTTTCTTGCATCGCCGCATGTGCTGGGAAAACGTACCAGTATGTTGGCATCGGTTCGAACCTGCTTGCCGAAGCGGCTTGCGGCCTTTGAGATGTTGGCCCAGGCGCCTCCCTGCAATCGAGTGAAGACCGAAACTAGAGATACTGCCTGCACATAAATTCTCAAGCTCTTTCTGCAAGCGTCCACACTAGCCTAGCTAAGACGAAGCTTTAAGACCTCTGACATCTTTCATGCAAGCTGAAGACAAACAGAAAAGCAGTGGGCCACAAACGGCAGTTTCTAACTCAGCCTCGCCCTTCTCTTCGTCAATCTCCTGAAGCCAGTCTTGTGTACTGGACTTGCAAGAGTGCTGGAATCCCTGCATCTCAGCAATGTTGACCACGAACTGGTCAGCAACAGGGCCATGCAGGGCTCCTCCGCGGTCGGTGTCTTGTCTTCTTTGGGGACCGGGTCGTACGCAACCTGGAAGCTAGGCAACATGTCCCGATCGCAGCACTCAAGCTGGCCACAGCATCCGTCAGTGATTCAGGAGAGCAAAGATTCTGCGCTCGACTTTCAAAGGAAGAGAGCGTCCAAGGCTAGTCCACAAACTGCAGGTGACAGCTGCTTTGTGCACTGAACTGGTGTGTGGCAATGCTAAGGACGCTGCCTTCTCTGCAAACGCTTTTCTCGCTTTCTCTGTCCACACGCTGAACCTGAACTGTCTGGCTGCATTACTATACTCGCCAGAAAGATGCCGTGTTTACTGCAACTTTGCCACTTGTCGCCATGGCATGCCGCACCGACATGCAGTAATTGAATGCGGCGAAGGCATGCAGAGCATGCAACTCTTTGACCGCTGCATACCGCACAGCCCGCTCGTAGTCCCAGCAGTCTCCATGACGACTGACTCGTGCACCTCCTAGCTGAATGCGTGAATGCCGTGTACAGCTCTGGGCAAGACTTGAAATATTTGGCAGCCAATTTGTCAATCATGCAGGATTCGGTCGATTTCGACACGAAGCACAGAATTAAGCAAAAATTGGAGGCATTTCATTAATGCAGGTGGCGTCAGCACGCGCGCTGACAAATCCCACCCAAGCCTTGAATGCCTGCCACACCCAGTAGTCTTATGCTATGCTTGAAGTTGTTGTGGCGAAGATGTGCACTTTAATTGAAATGTCTAGAGTCTAGAGGTTGGGATGACCAATTTGGTCAGCGCTCGAGCTTTTCCACATCTGCCTTTGTAAATGGGGTCCAAGTCTTCGCAGTCTCCGCCCCATCACATGTCCAAAGCTCGACCTTCGCCCCGTCGAAGCCGTTGTTATCGTGGGCAACCTTCCGTTCAGTCAACATGCACTCAGCATGGAAAAGCAACCTGTGCCTTTCTGTGACAGAGCTGGTGGAAAGGCAAGAGGATGCAGGCAGCGCAAGAACCGCAAGTTGAGCTAAATGCATGTTTCAAGTATCGGGGAAGCACTTGCAGGACTATCGATTGGACCAGATCTAAGAGACCGCACCAGGCAGTACGGGTGCGGCTTTGTCGTCGCAATAGACAGCAAACCGCTGCAACCAGATCCGAAGTGGCCTTGGCATCTCGGCTTGCACGCTTTGTAGTGAAGGAGGTGCGGCTTAATTGCTAAGGGACTGTTTAAAGTTTAGACAAACTTGCACCAAGTCATCAAAACAGTGCTGCCTGCTCCTGAAACGACCTATAACCTGTGTCCCAGCTGCTCCACAGTACCCAGTTTTGGTTGGCATTGACCGAGTCACACGGCTTCCTTTGCAGGAGACAGGCTACCAAGATTGAGGCTGTCTCACTTGCTGAAAAGACTGGAGTACGTCTTCCTGGAGGCTTCCTGACCAAATTCGGACAGGCGAGGCGCAATAAGATATCAGACCCATCTGTGAACTTGTCGCCGTCCACCACGACGCAGAAGTTTGGTTCATCGGACATGCCTGAAAGGCAACCCTCACATCGTCAAAAAAGTTTTGCTATGCCATCATATAAGCCGCTCTTGACACTTTGAACCATGAACGAAAAAGAGAAGTCCAAGGATGGGATGTAAGCCAGAGAACCGCAAGGAAAGAGTCCACGCCGGAATACACACAGGGAATGGAGCGAGCACCCACAGCGGACAGAATGAGGAAAACATCAACCCTGAACCCCACAACCCTTAAGCAAGTATACTTCCCCAAGGACAACGCTCTGACCTCTGAGACAATATAAGCAGCGGTGAATTCTTCTTACATAACTTGCCCCTGTTCAAAAAACGGTCTAAAAATCAAAACCCTTCCATCGCTCTGAGCCTCTTCTGCAATTAGGTGACTACACATTTTCGTCTTGCTATTAGCACGAGTAGTTCTGCCATTGGTAATACGAGTGGCCATACTACTTACTAACCATGACTAACAGACTAGCACAAAACAATCAGCAACATGGAGATTAATGTCGCACCTCCTTTCATGCAGAGGCGCCCTGTAGTGTGTCTTGGACGTCCATTAAGGACCAGGCCCAATGAGCCAAAGACCCCTACAGTATGGTGTGTCCTGATTGTGAGGTACTGGCAGAATCCAGACCATCCCCTGCAAATTAACTCTCAGAGCCCTCAGAACCGTGGGACCTGAGAGTGGCCCTTAAAAAAGGACACTCTTTTCTGTTTTTGTGGTCACCCTTTTTGTTGGAGGGGAAGGGGGGGCCTGAAGATTAAAGAGGGTCCGAGGAAGAAAACACTTGAGCGAAGCTTCGCAGTACATACCATACAAGGTGGAAACCTGGTTGACATGATTTAGACATGCAAAACGCGACGCGAGTAGAGCCACAGAACTTTGCACGCGAGAGTCATGACGTGCAACCAATAATCCACGCAAGTATTCTTGGTATTCAGACTACGTACACTGGAGGCTTCGCTGCGCAAGGTGCCTAAACATGCGGCAACTCGTGCCTGTGAAATTTGACCTGTTCAGCACAGCTTCTGGCATGACATTTCCATCTTGCTACAAAAAGTCTCCCCTATTCCGGCTTGTTTTTGGGCTTACTCGCCTGTCTCCTTGAAAGTTTGTATTACATACGGCTTCAGTGCTTGCTCCACTAGGTGCACATTCAAAGGCTTCCATGTCGTGACGTTGATTAAGGCTTCCATTAAGTTGGGATCCACCTCAACCTTGTTTCCAGGCTTCTAGGAGGATTTCTGCTGCACAGGATTTCTGACAGGGCTTCGATTACAAAAGTTTCCGGTTGAGGGGTTACGGCCACTATGCTGACTTTTCCATAAGGTCGGTGCTGGCAAATCGCACTGGACAACCGACCTGACCTGACCGGTATTGTTACCTGCTCATAAGTAGGCCAGTTGCAAACTGCTCTCCATCAGAATACGTTACTTGAATGCAAACACGGAACTGGGAGGGGCAAATTCTTGAGCAGAGGAGGAAGCAAGGAAATGAGGAGCAGTTTGCGGCAAACGCTGAATTCTTGAATGTTGAGCTGCGGATGCGCTCGTCAAAGTCCTTTTTCAGGAGGTTGTGGCCTGACTGCTGAAAGAGATACGAGACTGTGACACCACGTGCCTAGCGGCCTAGCAGCTCACGAGGCTCGGGCTGAACAGCTGCCCCGGGCTGGTCCAATCATCGTCACAATTTTGGAGTAACATCTTCACTCCATCACCTCGCAACAGGCTGCGCGACATGAAGCAAAAAAAAGCTAACATGGTAGAAGCTAGCCAAAAGTGAATTGGACCCGCTGCAGTGCAACAAGCAGCTCTTAGGTTGCGGTGTGGTCGCGCCTGGCTGTCTAATACGAAGCGTTCCCGATATCAGGAAATAACAGCAGTGACACCGGTAACGGGGGTAGTACAAGTCTCTGCCAGGATGCCTATCCGATTGTGCTCGCTTGACAGGCATAACGTTGGATCCTCAGCTGATAGCGCACTGAACCCAGCTTGGCATTTTAGAGGATGTTTTTGTTGAATGTGTTTTTCGCCCGTCATCCGGGCTCTTTCAACGGATGTGATCATTGCATTCATAACTTCAACTGAGTGCTCTTCTCTGAGTACACCCCATGTATTGCGCTAACACGGTTTGGATCGTGTGGCACAGGGAACACGTAAGCAAGCACCAGCATCAATCATGTTTGTAGGTTGGGCAGGTTCAACAAAAGGAGTCCGTGCTGGTGCGTCAGGCGCGTACTGTCAGCAGTAGGCTAGCAGCTCTTGAATTGAGAATGCAGATACTGCAGCGTGGTCAGAGCCCACACAATCCCCTACTTGCTGAAGTGTGCAGGTTCGCCTTCCGATTTGCAGAAGATTTGCTCAAAGCAAGTGCAAGAAGCCCACAACACCCTAAAACTTACCAGCTTGACTATGTTCCTCTGCTACGTAGTCCCAATACCATCAGACCGAAGACAACCCGCTTTGAGATTACTCTGCATACAACCTTCAAGATTAGCAGAAGTCCTGACTGCTGCGTTTTTGTGGCAAGAACTATTGCCAGAAAGATGCCGGCATCCAGCGAATTTGCATTCGACTGTCTGATGAGCAATCCTTCGAATGCACCGGAGGCGATCCCAGTGAGATGCAGGCGCGGCTAAGACGACTTCAGATGACCCCAAGGACAAAATTTGTTTGAGGCACCTGATGAGCTATTCTCTTGGCTCCCCGCACCTGTCAGCATCACGGAATGTGACGGTGGACTGCACACATGCTAGCGACTGCTAGAACTGCCTGGGCCAAGTTCAGTGCGACATCGCAATTCTCAGCATCAAGCTGGAGAGCCGCAACCTTGAAAAAACACGAGTTGTCGCCCCTGAGATGTTATGCATATTGATGTATCATGTTCATGCCAGTGCTGTGTCAGGGGGTTGCCCTGCAAGGTAGCGTTTCTTGTACAGCACCTGCCGCAGCACCTGTGCCTGTTGAATATGTGAATATGCAAGGTAGCCGCATGGGTCATGCCCAGGCAAGATCCATTCTGACAAGCCCAGGCTCTGTCTCACTGCAAGCTCTTTGCACGTGAAAGCAGAACAATGCGGCAGCAAAGCACCTAGCGAAAAATCTCAAGAACTTGCAATCAACGCAAAAGTTTTCAAGATGAACTGGAAAGCCCTTCAGTTGAATTCGAGCACATGCTGCAGTACAGATTGCATTGATTGCATGGCCGCCAGTACTTCCTACAATTCCGGCCTGCTTTGCATCTGCAAACAATTTCGCTTTTGGCAAGACCAAGGGCGCTTCGGCCACTTGTACAGTAAAGGGCTGCACATGCCACAGATCAGCAGAGCATGCCAACACGTGAAGTTAAGCACAACATGCATGACAGGTCTGTCTTTGTGCCCGGCAGGTTTGCTCCTCCTGGCATGAGCGCTGGCAAGCATGGGGGCACATTCGTAAAATATTGCTGCAGCACCATGCAATGCATGATGACCCTTTGGAGTGCTGTGGCTAGACACTCACGTTCGTTCGTGCCTGCAGCATTGGGCTCCATGGAGCTGTCCTGTGCCTCTGGTGAGAGGAAATTTTGAAGGGATCAAGAGCCAGCCGCTATGAACAGATGCAAACATCCTTGCAGAAATCACGCGGGAGGAAGGTACGTAGGGTTATGTGATGTTATGTGTCATATTCAGCAGATGGCACTTTGTGCAGCCTCCTCAGCTGGAGCTGCTGCAGGTGCCTCAAAGTTCTTCGTCAGGCCCTCACGCGACTTTAGGCAAGGGCACGGCTGACAGCTGCTATCTCACGACATATAATTACTCATGTTTTCATGGCGATCTTGCACTTCAGATGTGCACATCTGCACCACCCCAGCCGTTCAAACCGCCAGAGTGTGTCAGACAGCGTTGTTGGTCCAGTGCTCAAAAATTCTTTGGCCTTGAATCCAGTCTTTAGCCGTTCCAAGGGCCTGAGTCCCAAAGTAGAAGTCTTGCAAATTCACAACCGCGGTGTGAGGCTTTGACCCGGCTTGGTTGGAGCCAGCACCAGCCTGTCAGAAAAGGCTCAAGATGACTTGAAAGGTTCATGCTAGCCATAGATCGCTGTGCTTCAGCGGCCTCGTTTGAAGACATCCGCGGGCTGTAATCCGTTCAGCCCAAGGTGCAGAGAGGTTGCGGGTCTGCAGGTTTAAGTGAACTTCCATTCTACCGGCCCTGGTGAGGAGAGTAGGTTTGGCACACAGGCTGATGTGATGTACGACCTTCTGATTGATGCGGGCATTGAGCTAAGAAGTTGCAGGCAAGAGTATAATCACGAAATCATGGCCTTCAGGCGAGGATAATGACTCAGTTCCGCATGTGCTGTCTTCAGGACTAGTGGAGTAGTCGCGCTAATCTAGGGTAGGGGTTCAGGGAGCAGAAGGGGGGCCTAAGCTTCAAGCGTGCAAAATCATGCAAAAGCAACTTCACAGCAGAAGGAACACAATTCGTGCCACCTGTGCAAGCCTGAATAATGCAGAACAGAGATAGCAGGATTGGCAGTAAAGGTGTTCAAATTGGCACTCGGTCGTTGAGCATGAGAATGTCAGACTATATAAGGTCGTACCTACTATATTAGGCAGGAGACCAAGACATGCACCACTGTTCCTCGAAACGTGTGAGCCTTCTTTCTCGGCCAAACAACTTGCGGCACCCGATTTGTAGAATTCTTCTGTAGCGGCAGTGTTGCGGGGCAGCATTGGGGCATGAAGGGCTGAGGCTTGGGGATCCCGCATCCGTCTGCTGCCTGTGGCATAGTGTGTTGGAGCACTTTGAGAATCTGGTTTACCCAAGATCACAACTCCTACGCACAAAAACAACCGTCACAGGCCGGTTTTGAGCGATGTCGCCAGTTTAGGTGTCCAAGCCCGCGTTGGGGACGGTCTTGATGGCTGGATGTATCAGGCAAATGAATGATGCTTTGCTTGGCGCCTCTACTCTCCTTACGTACAAAGTCCTAGACCCAAAAGAAGGACGTGCGTAATCTCACTCCACCGAAATCTAGACTACCCACCCAGTAGCAAAACTACTCAGATGGGGAAAATCACGCAGCAGCTAGTTGTAATCTGCTTGGCAGATAAGCTACACGACGTGCAGGGAACTCTGGTTCCAATAGATAGGGGGGCGGCAACAATGCACGCCGCACTCAGGACTACGTGCAGGGAACTCTGGTTCCAATACATTAGTGGCAAAAACTACAACTACTTCTCAGGACGGCAAGCCTTCTTGTTCAGAGAGCCTTGTCACCCTGGAGACGATCTCCATGGCTCTAAATCTCTCGAGTTGTCGTCTCTCTTTTGCTGGTCGGCTCGTTTTGCCGACTGTTAACCAAACACTGGAGGGCATCGCGCAATCTGCTTTGCAGAAGCTCTGCCTCTTCTGCTCTTTTCCGTAAGCTGGCGTTCATGGCCCGATATTGTGCATCAACGCCGTCTTGCAAGCCTGGAGAGCCTGGATCGTGCTTGCGGACTCATGCTCAACCATGCAAGAAATTCAAGCATGACATTTGTTTTGAGTCCTACAGATTGAAGACTCAGCAAATGTGACAGGCCAAAACTGATCAGAACCCAGAAGCTCGCCATCTGGTCGATGTTCGCGTGGGAGCAACCATCCCCATCCTGAGCACTCTCCTTAGCAACAAATAATATGGGGTGGGGGGTTCCCAAAATTAAGGGTACCAATTTGGGGGTCTCCATAATAAGGGTTTTTCTTCTGGGGTCTATATTGGGGTACCCTAATTAAGGGAAATTACCAAATACATAAGGTGCCAATCAGGACTCCAACGTTTGTGTTTCCTGCTTGGGTGGGTTCAGAGCTTTTGTCCAAATCTGGGGAACCAACGTCTATGATGCTTGGAGATCCCTGAATAGAGTGCAGGGCTTTACATTACTTGCCTTCGTTATGTCCCTAACCCTTCTCTTCCTTCTTCCTCGTGAGCAAAACACACCTCATCCGAAACACACTGCTCAGAACAAGCCATTCCGGTGCAAAGGGAACCCTCAACGTACACACTACACCTTAACACAAAACATGACAAAACGCTATCTGCAAGATCTGGGCTTCAACGCTTAGACTAAACCACATACTGTAATGTCTGAACCGGGAGCTCCGACATCCCTCTGTCCCTAGCCTTACACTCCCTACACCCTAAGTCCCTAAGTACTGTAAGGAGAGAGGATCATATATAGCATCTGGCCATCCGTCTGCAACCGCGGTAGAGGTGGGCGCCAGCACTGCATTTGTAAAGGATTCCTTCAGCTGGTTTGGGTTCTGACAGCAGAAGGGGCCTTTTGAGGATGTAGGGGCTTGGTGTGCAAGGGTTTGGGACCAGGCTTTTGACTGTAAAAGGTTCGGGCTTGCATGACAGGCGCCAGGCCTCCCCCCTTTTTGAGGCAAGGCGAGAAGAAAGGATGACAACGTGGCAGGACTGACTGACAATGGAAAAGACAAGAGGGCAAAACATCTACATTTAATGCAAGCCTGATTATTGGGGGTTGGCTGGTGATAGGCGAGGCAAGTCGTGTTACCAGTGCAGACACCGCAGTCGGCAGTCACTGCGCGGTCAATGAATTGCGGGCGCGTGGAACATACAGGGCTTCAACCTTCAGTTCTCAGGTCTGCATCTCTCAGCCTGACCCCTCAGCCTTAGACCTTTATCTGGCGCAAAGTCGCTGCTGTGGCAAGCAGTCCATTCATGTCATGCTCAATCTGCGCGGCAATCTGCGCGAGATCTTCGTGCCTGTGGTTGTGGCACCGTGCCAAAAACCGCCATGGCATTAAGCAAGAGCTGTTGTCACGATTGTATATTATACAGTGATCACAGCCTCACTGCCATCTAGCTGCAATGCCTGTCCATTCTAAGAATCATACTGGATCAGAGAATTTGCAACACATTATAGGCCACTTGCCCGAACTCTGGCCTAGGAATGTCCGCGTCTGTGTCGTCCTTGCTCTCATCAGCCATGGTCGGGGGCCCCCACCGGTAGAAGTTCTTGGCGCTGCCTGGCTTGGTCTTACCGAGTCCACCCTGGGGGAACTTGTACCGTGCGTCTTGACTTCCTGATGGCCCGGCCTTTGGTTTCCAAAGAATGCCTTCTCCTTCTTCGGATGCCCAGGGCCGTCATGATCTCATCCACGGCATGCATGTGGTCCTCGTGCTGCTGCCTCATCGTGGCAACCTCAGCTGAAGCGCGATCGGCCATCCTCTAAGCTCCTTGAAGACCGTTCAGAGTGTTTACGGCATCTGTGAGAGGAAGGGTAAGATCAATCTATAGGGTCTGCTATAGAGCAATCAGGGTCTGCATTACGAACTCTCGACATGGCTCGCATCCGCCTGCTTGTTCTGCCAAGGGTCAACATCGTCGTGAATGATCTTCTTGAGCTCCTTTATGGACACCTGGTTCTGTGGGTCTGAGCGGTGGGAGCTTCCGAATGTTAAGCAGGCATGTAGTGTCATCTACCTTAGCCCATCTTTATCAGAAGTGTACTTCGAGAATCCAGTCGAAGAATCTACATCAAGACCCACAGCCACCCATGTTACCCCAATGGTCGACGTCTCTTGGTACAGCACGTTGAACTTTCAATTTCATGATTTACATGTGTTTGGAATTTGCTTGGCATGCATGTGCAACGGGCAATCGCGCCGCAGTCGTCTGGACAGACTGATGTGCACCGCACATCCATCCACTCATGTGACCAGCAGCCTTCGTCCAACTGGATCGTCTTTCTGTACGCATGAGCCAAACAAACCGCCAGCGAACTCCGCCCCTAACAGCCGCAACACCACCCGTACAGCCGCCCTTGAAGCTGCCGTTGCTCTGCGACTTTGCGAGGCTTTGGAGAACACGTACCTTCATAAGCACCCAGCATGGATTCTTTTCCTGTAATACCTTAGCACCTTGATGAAGTGGCCATCCTCTCTACAGAATTGGGGGCGGGGGCGGCGGGGGGGGCACAGGCCCAACATTACATAAGGCCATCTCTTCAAAGCACCGTCGGCCTGACATGTACCAACTGCCCCCAGATATCACCATATATGGTCAGGCATTTGGCGTTCCTGCCCTGCTCCCCCATGATCTGGTCTGGGAGGGGCGGTGGGAGGGGGGCCAGCCATGAACGTGCGAAATCTCCGAAACGGTCATCGGTTTTAGCCCTTCGCAATCTCAAAAGTGCCAACCGTCACAGGGATTGGGTCTGTGTAAGGCGTCATCTTCGTGACTGTCGTCACTGTTGGAGCCTGACTCTGTGAACAATATTCCAAACATGCCGATGGTTACAGGGATGGGCCAGTTTGGGCCTCGATCTTTGGGGACTGTGGTAGAATTTGGTATTTGTACGCTTCTAATATCCCACCATGAATATCTTATGCATCCTTCTAAGAACCTCTCAACATCTCACACACTCGCCTAGGAATGATAATACAGCTCTAAGAGAGCATTTGTATATCTACACATCTATAGATAATCCTGTTAAATCCATGTAATATCTTCCCGCATCCCCATTAATTCGTCACTTTATGAGACTCCCCACCCACGCCCCCAAGTGTGAGGGGAAGACCTCAAATCATGTCTCCACCCAACCCCAACCACACCCACAGAGGGGGAGGGCCACCCACAGGGAGAAGGAAGGGTCCACCCGAACCCCAACCACAGCCACCCACAGGGAGTGGGAGGAGGCCTAGACCATGGCGGGGAGGGGGGGCGGCCCGCAAGCGCGTGACCTATACGCATCAAGCTGCAGCGGATTCAAACAACCCTTTCGGCTTGAGATGGCGGCTAAAGGCACAACGGTCACTCGTGAAGACAGAACGGCGCAACTGCAATGCCTTCCGGGCACTGACTTTTCAATCCGATCTCGTGGAAAACCTGAAAATCAAAAAGACAATTGAAACCAAAGTAAGGCGTGAGAACCACATCTAGAAAGCCTTGAAGGCTCTGCAGGCTTGGGCACCTGGATGATGGATTGCATCATCAGCGGGTCACGCTTGAAGAACCCCCCCACTTTCTGGCAAAAGTTCAGGTAGGACATGCTGCCGTCTTCGTCATCGTCTAGCACCCGGAAGATTTGCTCCATCTCGTCTTTCTTTATGTCCACATGCTCCATTAATGTTCTGAACTCTGGGGTCTCGTAGCCATTGGACAATTCCAGCAGACCAATGCAACCGTCGTTGTCTTTGTCTAGGTTAGCGCAAAATACTGCCAGCTCCACCATGTTTGCTACGCGCTCCTGGCAACAGAAGCCATACTAGCATCATTGCTACCATAACCACTACTGCAACTTGAATGGATGCAAGTGGCGCTGTTCCCCTAATCTTGTCATGAGTTCTCACAACAGTGGAAGTGTTGGCTAGCGTGCATACTCTTGCCGTTGGTACTAAGATTCCTCCTCCTTCTGCTTGGTCTTGCGCTCGCGATCATTCTCTCGAGCTTGCGCGGCTGTCTCCACAATGACCTGCAGCGCATCCTACACGCAAGCACAGAAGCATCCGCGGACGATGGCTTGGGAGCTATCCCCTTCATGCTCAGTTTCGGGCTGCGAGGATCAAATTCATCACCCCCAGAGAAATCGTCATCAGCATCACGAATAGAAGGATGAAGGTCAATGGCTCTGCGTCCTCACTGCTCTGAAAGACTGCAACTCCCAAGACCCTACAAAACCGTGCGGCTATCAAGCGATTCCAGAAGCCGAGCATCGATGACTTTCAGACTGACCTCTCCCCAAGAATCACCGGCGACCGTCCTTTGCATGGGGCTTCGACGTGCTCCGTCTGTAAGGATTTATCCCCACGGCCCCCAGTGCACAGAAGCTGGCAGGCTCGGGACCGCTGAGGTTTGAACTCTGCGTTTGCAAATGCCACTATGCTATGGCTTGGATTCGACTTTCAAGATGGGCATTGTAAGGTGATTTTGGATCGGGTATCTCTTACTCGGACTACTATAATTACATACCTGTGCACAAGGACATGTCTTGTTTCTTCCGTTGGCAGATTGTGCCTGTGAAAGGACCCTATGACTGCACAGGTTCCTTGGTTCTTGAACGTGCTAACTTTGTGCCGGCAGCATTTCACAGTCTCCCTCCCTCTCTCCATCCTGAACTGATTGCTTGAGTCTCAAACAGCTTGGAAGATCTGTCAACGGAATGGATGGGATCCTCAGGCAGCTTTTGATTTCTATGTGAGGCCGGGCATTTCCCTGATAGAAGCCTGCAACCATTCTGCAACAATCTCCTTCACTAAGCATGCGTCTTCCACTGTCACCGGTATCCTACCAACTTGGAGACTTTGCAGGCATCTGTGCAAGGCCCATGAACCGCAACAGCATGTGCCCTCTGACCAGGCAGTCTGAAGGTTGCCAAAACAACTGTATCACTTGCTGATGATTGCTGCTACCACTTTGCACACTGTTACTCCTGCGATCTTGACTTTGCTGGGATCAGATTCCTGTAAATACCCGGGCCACTATGATGAGGTTAGGCTCTGTTGGAAAATCGTGACGGTGGCTTCAAAGACGTTGCTGAAGCTTCGTGGGCAGCGATCGCACCCGTCAAAGTCTTCGATGAGAGCCACCACGGGATGCAAGACTTCCACCGAGATCACCGCCCAGAAAACGACAACAGACAGCAGCATCGCAGATCCAAAGAGTATAGCTTTCAATGACGAGTAAAGGCCGGTAATCAACAGGTAGAACTCAGGGATGGAAACGAAAATCCTCACTGCCCTAAGTACCCGAACCAGTCGGGCTAGGCGCAGCCAGCTTAGATTAACCATGCCTGCAAATGCCACGCTCGACCATCCCAACATAACAGTGACCAAGTCAACCATGTTGAACTTGTTGCAAAAGAAGAGCCAACGCTCCACAAAAACTCGGGCGAACATCTCTAGAGAGTAGATGGTAAGCAAGAGAATGTTCATAAGCCGCATCCCAAAGGTTCGATCGCTTCGGTATGGGCAATTGGCAACGTCTGCCTGGTGAGTGCAAAAATTGCGCAGAAAAATCTTCATCACAGCAACATGCGCGCATGGCAGTCTTCAAACAACACAGACCACCTGCAAGTATGGAAATCTTAGCGCAGATATTCTCCCGCTGGAAGTTTGCCGTGGACCCTAATTCGCCTCGATCCTGGCCACGAGGCGTTCAGATGTTTTTCCAGCAGACCCTGGAGTGTTGCACCCAGCTTTGATTGGCTCGTTTTGCGCGTATGCATGTCGTGATCCCCTGCAGAGAAACGATCTGACATCATCCTCAGACTTGCAGTGCGTTGCCGCTCATTGCTCTCCTCACACCCTCCCTACCCAATCATCTCCCTTCCCCCTCCCTTCCCGGTCCCCCTCCGCTGCACAGCTGCTGGCCCTTCCAACTATAGAGTGGGCCGAGGCGGTCGATGCGCAGATTTTAAACTTAGCCGAGAACTTGAAGCAAGTTTGTATGTGATGCGTCTGCCTTGTATTCCGTGAGGCACTGGGCATCTCGATCAGCTTCAATCCTGTGCCACTTCAAGGCGCTTGGATGGGGCAATCGCAAGCCCTTGTTCGGTTCTTTGGGTGAACCATTTCATTTAGGCTAATACTTTGTTTTTTTGCATGTTGCATTCGTCACTCACTTTCAGATGACAGCGCGGGTGTCGCCTGGTAGACTAGGAGCAATAGAAAACTTGACAAGGCTCAACAAGGCTCATGATAAGGATCAGGTTGCCGACCACGATCAATCCCATGATGCTTTCAAACCTCTGGCTGCACACGATCTGGCCAATACGTATCCTGCGGAAATGCTACAGGCTGAGGGGCGAGGCAGCTTTGTTTAGTTGCCGTGCTTTTAGTGTTCTAGACTCCATATACATATACATGTATGTGTACATCATAAATGTCTATATATATATATACACACATAATCTCGGTGCCGCGCTTCGACAACTAAAGCCTGTAATGTGGCACTATTTCTTTCTTTTTTTTGAGGG